GCAGGAAAATCCAAGCGGTTTGCTGGGGTGCCTGGCTGTCTCCCAGAACACATCCCGCCCCAGCATGGAAAAGGCCGATGTCCACAGGCACAAACCACCTGCCAACACAGGGCTACGCTCCATAATCAGGCATCACTGCTCACTAGGGGCTTCCAGAATGGCAAATGGGGGGATGGGTATTGTCCCCAGGCTCACCTGAGGAGACACTTTCAAAGTTGTCATTTTTAATCAGTCAGACATTTCCCCCTCTCTTTACCCCTTTCAGGATATACGCAGTGCTGGTTTATAGAACCTAAACATTAACTCCACAAGAACTGCTGCTATACATTGAGGTCTCAGATCTTGCAGTTCAGAGTAACACGGATTGTTTTCCTCCCTGTATTTGTGAAGGCTCCAACTTTTTATACTAGTAACAAAGTGTGCATCACACCAAGAATTACTGTGGCCAGGGGAAACTTTGCAAGGAGTGACAAAACAGGTTTTGCACATATGATTTAATGCATCTACTTTGCAGAAGGCAAATCCAGCACAAAACCAGTAAGGTTGCAGAAAACCATTTTCATGTAATCTTTATATATATACACACTATATACACATATATACATACGCTATAGTGTATATACCATATACACTTTACATACACACTGCATACAGCATACTGAAAACATGTTTATAAATCACATTCCTGACTTTTACGCAACACTTTCCCTCAGCCCCCATCTTGAATTACAGTATTAGGTAGTGGAAGGGCATTATATGGATACGTAAATATCAATTCTCAACTGCCCCAGCAGTGGCCCATTAGCCAACAGCATACATCACCACCACATGGGCATTTAACGCTGTACGTGACCCTGACACGAGGAGGTAAGCGGCGTCTCACAGCGCTCCTCCATGCTCCCTCTTGCGCCACGTTTCCACACTCAAGATGGCGCCCTCTCACCCAGAAGGCATAGCAAGGCCGACGGAGCACCGCCTTAGCAGGTGAACGGCTGGTCCGTGAAAGCCTCTGCCCCTCCACGCCCCCTCCGAGCGCAGAAGCAGCCCCGCAGCGCGGCCGCAGCCACCACCGCGGACCCGCACGACGGCTGTCACCGCCCCGCTCCGCGTTTGAAAAGCAACTGCCCCCGCCCCGC